GTGACCAGGCTGCTGCAGTTTACACTTCTAATTCTATCGAGCTCCCTGCTGCTGCTGCTACTGCTGCTGCCTATAGAGGCCACCACTGGATTGCCTGAAGCAGATGAAAACCAGGAAGCAGCCGGTGAAGCGCCGGAGGCAGCAGCAGCAGCAACATCAGCAGCAGCAGCATCAACAGCAGCAGCAGCAGCAGCAGCAGCAGCAGCACCGCTGAGGGGCCTTTCGTATGAACAGTGGTCAGAAGGAGAGTGGAAGGAGACGGCGCGGGTGGGGCATCCAATGCAGCAGTTCTTTACCTCTCACCAGCTGCAGCAGCAGCAGACGCAGCTGCAGCAGCAGCAGCAACAGCAGCAGCAGCTGCTGCAGCACCAGCAGCAACACCAGCAGCACCTGTACGCACAGCTCAGCACCGTCGCACGAAGCCTTTCTAACCCCTATGGCCTCAGCAGCGAGACAGGCAGCTCTACGCGCCGGCACCTGCAGCAGCAGCAGCAGCAGCAGCAGCAGCAGCAGCAACAGCAGCAGCAGCAACAGCAACGGAACGGTGGTTTTTTGCCTGCAGCCCCGTCGACCTCTATGCAGCTGCAGCTGAGGAATGTCTACAGCAGCAGCAGCAGCAGCAGCAACAGTCAGCAGCGGTATCAGCAGCAGCAGCAGCTGCAACAGCAGCAGCTGCAGCAGCAGCAGCTGCAGCAGCAGAAGCACACACAAAGCTGGGTAAGTGAAGAAGGCATCCGATGCCTCCAGGAAGAGCGCGTGGCTGCTCTGCTGCAGCAGCAGTTGCAGCAGCAGCAGCAATTGCAGCAGCAACAGCTGCAGCTGCAGCAGCAGCAGCAGTTACAGCAGCACCAGCAGCTGCTGCAGCTGCAGCAGCAGCTGCAGCAGCAACAGCAGACTCCACGTCGATTGCCTACGGGCACCTGGCTTCACCAGCGGCAGCAGCAAACTGCTGCATACCCTCAGCAGCAGCAGCAGCAGCAGCAGCAGCAGCAGCAACCTAGGAGCCACGTAATCCAGAGCAGCAGCAGCAGACCAGCGCGCGGGTCGCAGCAAGCGTTACGCAGCTCAGCAGCAGCAGAAGCAGCAGCACGAGCAGCAGCAGCAGCAGCAACAGCAACCCTGCAGCAGCAGCAGAAGCAGCAGACGCAACGGTGGATGGGGGCGCAAAGGCTGAGGCCTCTGCCTACTCCCACACACGAGCAGCAGCAGCAGCAGCAGCTGCTGCAGCAGCTGCAGCAGCAGCAGCAGCACAAACTGCAGCAGCAGCAGGCAGCACATGCAGTGGTTGGGTTCCCCCCCCGCGCTCCTCTGCAGGCTGCTGCTAAGCCATCTGTGCGAAGCAGCAGCAGCAGCAAGCAGCAGCAGCAGCAGCAGCAGCAGCAGCAGAAGCAGCCCCGGACGCAGCAGACAGGAAAGGAATTAGCTTCCAAGGGTTCTATACGTTGGGCTTATGCAGTGCAACTAACGCAGCAGCAGCAGCAGCAGCAGCAGCAGCAGCAGCAGCAACAGCAGCGGCAGTTGCTGCTGCAGCAACAACAGCACCCTGGAAGCCCACAGAGGCAACATGATCTGCAAGTGCCTGCTGCTGTTGCTGCTGCTACTGTTGCTGCTGCTGCTGCTGCTGCTGCTGCGCAGCAGCAGCAGCAGCAGCACTCGCACGTTATACCACGAAGGGGCCAATACAGATTCCATTCGCAGCAGCAGCAGCTGCAGCAGCAGCAGCAGCAGAGCCTGCGCAGCCCGCAGAGAACAGTTGTGCTTCCCTCACGGGTGGAGCAAGTGCAGCAGCAGCAGCGGCAGCAACAGCAGCAGCAGCAACAGCAGCAGCAGCAGCAGCGGCAGCGAGGCTGGGTAACAACTGGCCTGAAACCCATAGAGAGAGCCCGTTAGCTATCCACGCAGCAGCAGCAGCAGCAGCAGCAGCAGCACGAGTGCTGCAGCAGTAGGAGT